CAATCTACATTACTACCAAAGTTCATTCCCAAAATCAGTGTACTTCCCGAAATATGGTGAAATAAATTCCAAAATTGACCTACTTTTTTTTACTCGACATTAGCTTGGGCCCTGGTTATTCACATGTATACAGACGGTGTTTGAACTGCAGCGAACACCTGCATAGTATTTGCACAATCTTTCAACATTTTTTACTGTACTCCAGTCTCGTAAATTTAGTCAGGTTTGATATTGGTTACTAAGTTACCCCCATTTTCGCGGTAAAAAAAATTAGAAAACGTTTGCTTCAACAACTTCACAGCTAAAATGTTGGTGGTAACTTAGTAAGACCAAATGATCAAACCAGATAAAATTTTATAGAGACTGAGTACTAATAAACAAATATTCAAAGAGTAAAGAATAAATTCTGGGAAGAATTCGTCCCGTCGTTCCCCCTTTACAATTAGTGTAACTATTCAGAGGCCCAGGCTAATGTCAAGTAAAAAATAAGATCAATTTTGGGATATGATTTCAGTATATCTCGGGAAGTATACGGAATTTCGGAAAGAACTTTGGTATTAACGTTGATTATTTATATGTGACTAGTTATGAATAGAAAGTAAAATTTTAGATCATTTGATTTAAAAGTATTTTATTGGCGAATGTGGATACCCTATGTAAGGAGTTCCATACCTTTATTTTTTTAACACCTTAATTTTTTAAAGCGATCTAAAGGCCTGTGGTTTCGTCTAGTATCATTATAATATTTTTAAAATAAGAAGCCCATGGTCCACAACTCTCACTTGAGTTTCTTTGACCTTGCTGTTTATAATTATCAGTTGATTTTTTAATTTACTCTTTTAATTTCATACAAAAAGACTCATATTGTTCACAAAAATCTAATTCTAAGGACCTATGATTTAACCAAGGTAGAATTCACACAACATTGGGATGCTTCAATATCATATTGTAATTCCCAAATATACGAACTAATTAAAAAAAACACGAAAATGAATTGAAGCCCACAAACTATTTCTACAAGTTTGAAAATGTTTAATTTGATAAATAACTAATTCAAATATTATTTCAATCAATGCTAGATGAAAAGAAATTCTATTTCTCGTTGCACGTGTTAAAGGACTGTTCTTCTTTAATGCTTATATTTGTTAAGTAGTTGCTAGAAGGATTAAGACAAGGATAAACATTTCTTATATATAATAAAAAGATGGAGAAAAAAAATTGTCACTGGTCTTTCTTGAGAAATCCTAGGGAAAAAAATCTACTAGATTATTTAATATAATTACCTCTGTGTTGTCTTCAGCATCGGTGTAACGAGAATCCCAGATAGATGTAAAAACAGGACTTTCGATGAGTCGGAGCGTACTCAGTACTTTTAGAGAAAGGACTCTACTGTATTTTACCACTGCACTTTTCGTGTACTAATATTTCAAATCTCCAAACTGTACGTGATCGGGTTCGACTCTCCTTCCTGGCCCCGCGTCAAACCTTTGACGTAAACATAGTATAGCGACTGCGCCCGGCACTAGAAGTGAAAGTCACTGGTCTTTTGGATGAGACCTCTTAAAAAAAACTGAGGTCCTTTGTCACGGTAGGCATTGGTACTAAAGAGAACCGCCATATAGACGAGTGAAGGTCTAAATTTGAAGCCCTTCAGAGGTATATGGTGACGTCTCATACGAGTGAAAATTTCTCGCAAGGACGTAAAACAACAATCAAACAGGATAGGTATTCATATGTTGTAAAAGTTGACTTACTTTTTCATTTGCTATCCATGGGGGCTTGTCTTTCTGATTGTTAAATGTAAAATAAATTTTAAAAAATTGAATCTTCTTTAAATACACTTAAACGTTGTTAAATTAGATATTCTGACACTTTCTGTCAAGAAAAACCACGTTTAAAAAAAGACGTACCATACCTATATACATAAACTCTACAAGGGACGAAAGTTCTCGTCTTGGAAAAAATACCGCCACCCACTTCAGCGCCTATTTCTGGACTCTAAAGCATTAATTTATTTCGTTGCCAAGGTTTTGTCCCCTACAGTGATGATTTTCCTAAATGTTGATGCGTTTGTCAGTCGTCAACATGCGTTTAATCAACAGAAAACGGAAACAATTTCTTTGATTTGGGGCTTATTTTCCTAAACCGACTGACTTCGCTTGGCGAAGGAACAGTCGCTACCTATGTTTACGTCTAAGGTTTGACGCGGGGCCAGGAAGGAGAGTCGAACCCGGTACTCTAACCGACTGAGCTACCGTGACGGTCAATATATCCTATTGAAGAAATGTCATTTAAAATGATATAAAATATGAAAGTCCTAGCCCCAAGGTCTTTTATGCCCTACAATATTTGGTTCGGTTTGCCTTTCTTACCGATGAAAACATGATTCTAAAATACGTGTGTAAAAGATATATTATGTAGTATTTATATATATATATATATATATATATATATATATATATATATATATATATATATATATATATATATGTCGTCAATTTGAAGTCAAGGCTTGGTATCTGCTCATAGTTGGGCAAAGGTGACATTCAGACTTTGGATTAAGACAAATCAAAATCAAACAGGATGTGTTTGTGAAACATTGATGTTCCCGTATGGCAGCTTATGGCGAAGGTTAAAGTTTCTCAAATGCAAGTCAAAATCCAGGCCAAAAGATAAAAAATGTTGATACCCAAAGAAAGATCTTGTCTCGAGGAATACACCTGTGAAATTTGAAAGACCTAGATACAACTGTTCAAAAGTTATGGTGAAGGTTAAAGTTTTTTAAATAAAAGTCAAAGGTCAAGGTCAAAGTGGTTGGAATCCAAAGGAAGATCTTGTCACAAGGATTACATATGTGAAGTATGAAAGCCCTAGCACCAACATTCAAAACTTATTGCCAAGGTTAAAGTTTTTCAAAAGTAGGTCAAACTCCTAGGTCAAGGTCAAAGGGTCAAAGTGGTTGGTATCCAAAGGAAGGTCTTGTCACAAGGATTACATATGTGAAGTATGAAAGACCTAGCTCCAACCATTCGAAAGTTATGGCCAAGGTCAAAGTTTTTCAAAAGTAGGTCAAACTCCTAGGTCAAGATCAAAGTGGTTGATATCCAGAGGAAGATCTTGTCACAAGGAATACACATGTGAAGTTTGAAACCCTTAGCACCAACTGTTCAAAAGTTAAGGTTAAATTTTTTCAAAAGTTGGTCAAAGTCCAAAGTCAAGGTCAAAAGGTCAAATATGATGGTATCCAAAGGAAGGCCTTGTCACAAAGAACACACATGTGAAGTTTGAAACCCCAAGCACCAACTGTTCAGAAGTTATGGCCAAGGTTAAAGTCTCATAAAATTTTGCAAAAGTGGGTCAAACTCCAAGGTCAAAAGGTCAAATATGATGGTATCCAAAGAAAGGTCTTGTCACAAGGAATACACATGTGAAATATGAAAGTCATAGCCCCAACCAATCAAAAGTTGTGGGCAAGGTTAAAGTTGACAACAGACAGACAGACAAACGGACAAACAGATGAACAGACACACAGGACAAAAACAATATACCCCCGGGATCTTTCGATCCGGGGGCATAAAAAGTATCGGAGCTAAGATATGTACGTGATTTGTAACTTTTATTCAGTTACTATTTAGAGGATTATGAATTGGCTTTGACATTGTTTTGTTTCATTTTACTGAGCCAAACCTTTTATATCCTGGCATGTAAAAATAGAATTCTGTGCCCTAAGACAGGGTGTTGCTAAAACGCGGAACGGAAAATATGATTCCAGGTTAAATCATTTAAAATATAAAAATCATACCAGAAACGGTATATGTTATATAAATTTTCATATTTTATCCTTAATTATTAAAATACGAGTTGATTTAGTCATGTTCATTCTCTTATTCATGAAGATCTCTGAACATATAGACAAAGGGTACGGAAAACGGAACAGAAAATATGTAATGCCGTACATACATGTATATACTTGTAACATGTAGTTGTGGTAAAAAATGGATGAGTGGGAAATTTTATTGAAGATCACTCTGATCAATATGAACGGCAGATTTTCGAAATCCTTATGAGCTGTATGAGCGAAAAATAAAAATTCCATAACTTTCAATGGATATAAATGTACATGTACTCATGTACCGTAAGCGTGGATAACGTACATCTCTGCACACCCCCTCCCCCGCCTAATACTAAAATATAAATAACAGCTCTATATTTTCTCGAAAATATGTAATTTCCCATCCATCTTTACGTTATTCTGTGCAATCAGTTTGCGCTGTTTTGAAAATTTGGTCATATACATCTATGCTATCTTTCTTAAATCCCCGTTTCAGGTCCATGTGGATTGCATCAACACTCCTGTAGTTGTGATAAACTTTTTAGAAAAAAAAATCCTTAATGCCAGTGATTATTCTCTCTAACACATTTGTTTTTATACCGTCTTTCTCTTTCTCTCCGCCTGTTTCAAAGCAACATTGCCCCTTTCATAATCAATAATGATGATTTTGTCTTTGAACGAATAATCCATTTTTTACATGTAAATTCAGATTTGGGTTAATGATAAATGAGACATTCTGATAGATAATTGGGATGTGAGTCTAAATAATGTGTATTTTATTGACCATTGCATGTATATGCCACATGTTTTGAGGGGAAAAAATCATGAATAAATCACATTGTTACGATAACTTTTAATTAAATTTGAACTACATGTCTTAGATAAAGAATACTGCTTCCTTTGTCTGAATTATACCTGTTCAAAATGAAAAACTTGACATCAAATTTTCCGTTCCGTTCCGCGTTTTAGCAACACCCCTTAAGACGCAATTTCGGGAAGATGACTTGGCACTGAGTGAAAATAATACTCGAGCATAAACAAGGTAAAATGGGACTCGGAAGAAGCTTGGATTCAGTTGTTATTGAAAGACATACAATGCAATTAATGTAAACTAATAACTTTACGTCTTTGTTCCTTAATTAAGATTTATTTTATATTCTTGTTGTAGAACCTGAAAATGTTTCTAATTCTTCGGACCAACGAGAACACAGCGGAAGGAGCCATGTGCGCAGTGGTCTTTTGCGCAAAGCTAAACGGAAAGCACTACGCATGTCCATTTTTATTGTCATCGCGTTTTTCATTTGTTGGTTGCCATACTATGTAGTTTTCACCGGATTTGCATTTGGACACTGGACTACACTGAATCCTTCCGTCATGAGCGGATTGACGTTTGTGGGACTTACGAACTCTATTTTGAACCCCATAATCTACGGTGCATTCCAACTTTGCAAGGTGCCTAGTAATCCAAGGTTAGTTTGGAGGACAATTGTTTCAAAACCCAGTTCAAACGATTTTATGTATATTCTTCCCATGGAAATGAAAAGGGGAAGTAAGGCACAGTTTAGGATTGGGAATAGCTCCAATCAGTATTCCATTCAAACAAGTTCAAGCTGAAGTAAAAAGGTCAGTTTTAAGTTGGAAGAAAATTCACTCAAAGCTTTGAATTATTTGGAATGTTTTGCACAGCACGCTTTCGCTAGTCTGATAAGATACTAGTATGCTTTGCTTCTGGTACATACATGTATGTTTGACAAATGGTATATGTACATGGTCACTGATATGTCTGTTAGGGCCCGCATTAATATATGTGGGAGGGGGGCACTAGTAATCACTGTGTCTTTTCCAACGGTTTTATGTTATTCAATCACTTGAGTACCCTTTAAACCAGAGATATATTTTCAATCACTTGTGTATCTTTCAAAGTGCAGATTTCGTGTTTACAAATTATGTGAAAGATGGCTGTGGGTAGAGACATCTAAAAATTAGAGGGTATTTGATCGATCAAGGTCAAAATTTTAGATTATCCACTTTTCTTCGAGTCACTTTGTCAAAGACTCAGGGTAATTTAAGAGACCATTGTGATGCGATAATCTGGATACTGTTTAATTTACAGTCTTTTTAACTAACTAATAGATCGAGAATGTTAACAGGCTTCTATTGATTTTTCTTCCTCTTGAGCAAAGATCAAGACCAAAAGGTCTACAAAATTTATGTGGCTGTCTTGTACAAACTTCTTTTAAAAAGCCCTTTTAACTACACAACCAATATATATTCAAATTTATATTCAAAGGCCACTTGCTAAAAGGTCAAAGTCAGAATTATTCATGTAAGGGGTCTTTTTTATCAATCAATTTTCTGGTTAATGCTTAGGATGTCTTGTTGTAGGGGAGCTGCTCCAGTTAGTGGTATGTTTTTGCTTCTCTTTTGTTCTGTATGTCGTTTGCGTATTTTCTTTTGTTAAAGCATTCAATATTGCTTTTCAGTGTATGGGAATCGTACTCTGAATTTTCTGTCAAGATTCATTCCATTTTCTTCTCGTGTTTTGATAAATGTACTGATATTGGGTTTTGAAACAAAGCATGCCTGTGTCCTGCCAAAACAGTCTTGTGCTTAAATGAGAATGCTTAAAGCTAAGAAATCATTTCGTAGAGGTAGAAAACACGTATTGCATGTATTTGCAAAGAATTTATCTTATTTTCTGCAAACAAAATAGTTTTGAGTTTTCACCAAGAAAAAGATCCAATGATACTCGCCAAAGGAAAAGTTCATAAACTAAATTAAGTCCTTCACGAAAGGGGAAAAGAACTTTTTCGCCAGCAGTATTAAATCTTATTCCAACGAAGGATTTATCGTACCTATCTGCAAAGCATAAACTATAACTCATGTCTTTTTCACGTTATTTATCATCGATTCTTAGAACATCGTCTCCTCAAGTAACGTCTTAGATCAATCGAAAAAGCGGTTATTTTTGAAAGCAGGAGGCCACAGTTTGAAATCGGCGCAATACATGAATTAAAGGGTAAATGGTTGGTAGTATGAAACAACATCAACAAGAGGCCCATGGGCCACATTGCTCACCTGAGCAATGTAGCTAGGAAAAAAACCAAAAATCAATCCAGTATTGAAAAGCTTAAATGCATCCCGACCCACCCCTAAAAAGGGGGGGGGGTATGATTTGAATTAACTTGAATCTACACTAAGAATGCTTACATATTTCTTTGACTTACTGTGGCTTTTTTCCCTATAAATTTGAACTTTCATTTTGGTCCCACCCTACCCCCGGGGTCATGATTTGAACAACTTGAATCTACACTACCTGAGGATGCTTCCATATAAATATGACCAATCATGGCTTTGTTGTTCTTGAGAAGAAGATTTCAAAAGATTTTTCCTACATATTCCTATGTAAAACTTTGATCGTCCATTGTGGCCCCATCCTTTCCCCGGGGGTCATAATTTGAACAAAATTAAATCTACACTACCTGAGGATGCTTCCACATTAGTTTCATCTTTCCCGACCGAGTGGTTCTTGAGAAGAAGATTTTTAAAACATGCCACCAAATTTTCACTATTTCTTAATTATCTCCCCTTGAAAGAGGGCTTAGCGCTTTATTTGAAGAAACTTGAACCCCCTTCACCCAAAGATGCTTTGTGACACGTTTGGATGAAATTCGCCCAGTGGTTCTGGATAAGAAGTCGAAAATGTGAAAAGTTTACAGACGGAGTGACAGACAGAAGGACTACAGACAAATTGTGATCAGAAAAGCTCATCTGAGCTTTCAGCTCAGGTGAGCTAAAAACATATTTATCACACAAGGGTCTATTCTGCATACAAAATTTAAGCAAAATTTCAATCATATCAGGATTATGGTAAAAAATATTATTAAGCCGACAATTTCGTATTCGATAGTTAAAGTGCCACAGACGCGTTGCTACTACTGAAACTAACAGTACGTAACGTGGTTGATTTTCGAGAAATATCCTTGTCAGAGAAGTGAACTTTTGTGATCGAAAGACGTCTGATAGCTCGTCGTCTGCATCATTTTCACATTATCAACTTCTCGAAAACCACTGATCTAATTTAACTAAACTTCCCACAAGCATCTTCGGGTAAAAGGGGATTTAAATTTGCCCAAATAAAGAGCCGCTATAAAAGAGAGATAATTAAGAGATAGCCAAAATTAGTCCGCTCATTTAAAAATTACCCACTGGAGAACAACAGGACCAAAAATGAAAAAAAAAACCTGATGTGAAAGCTACTTATAGTAGAGATACGAGTTTATAGCAGCTGGAATTAGGATGGGGTCACAACAGAGTCAAAGTTTAACTTGGAAATATATATATTAAAGGAAATCATTTTTATTAAATTAATCATAAAAATATTCATTCCCAAGAACAGGTGGACCACTATTGGTTTTAATAATCTGCAAACAATCTCGTATAGTGTAGAGTCGATTTTGTCAAATTATCGCCCCTGGGCTACATGTAGATAAGGTCACAGTAGTGGTGTGCATCATATTACCGCTACAAAATAGTATACATTACCACTACATTTATATGTATAAATTACCACTACAATGCCTCGAATATGATTTTCGTATCACTTGCTTATTTGAAATCCTAGGCCATTTTAATTAAAAGACATACAGTTTTTATTTTTCTAGAAGTTTTAAAATCAGTGATTAAACATGCATTGAGGCAATTTGTAACAAACCTCTTAATAGGAGCCATTTCGATCAACATGACTCCATATAATTGTACTTTCGACTACAAGCGAAATGAATTATACATTGAATAGAACTCACACTAAATTGTACTTCGACTATACATGTATATTGTGAGTGAATTTTATTGAATAGAACTCATATTCTGTGCTTCTTGTAAAGGGCCCTTTTATTATATACCTCTCCGGAAAATTTGTATATGAAGGTAATGAGTTGAGTTGTAAAATCTAGGTGAAAAGTAGCGGTTATACCTTGCAATGTGGTGGTATTGTGGTCCTCCCGATAGGGGATTTGTGTTTTGCGTCGGAATATATAGTACCATACAGTCAAACCTTGTTATCTCGAACTCGAAGGGACCACGATTAAACTTTGAGATATCCGAGGATTCGACATACGACGAGAATGATTCAAAACATGAAGTAAAAAATGGTTGGAACTGCCAAATCACTTCGATATATCCCTGGTATTCGAGATATCGTTGTTCGAGATAACAAAGCTTACCTGCATATTGAAATATTTATTTTGTTATTAGTAATACTTATATGCAAGCATCCTCAGGTAGTGCAGATTCAAATTTGTTAAAATGCTCCGGGGGTCGGATGGGGTCAAAGTGAGATCTTGTATTTACATTGGAATAGGAAAGATTTTCTCCAAGAAGGTGTAGGGAAGAAATTTCTTTTTAAGAACAGAGGGCTATGCTTAATAATATTACTATGCATACGAAATAGCTGACAGGTCAGAAGAGTTCCTGTAATTTCATTTTCCAGGGGCATATATTTAAGAGTCTTATGCACATTAAGTGCTTGCTTTTTTCCTGCACGTTATACCCACTCCACTCCAATGTATATAAATTTTACAGTTTAATTTAGAAGAAAAGGATCACAATTTATGAACATAATTTGTTTATTTAATACCCAGATGGAAAGAAGGTCGTGAAATATTTTAAGTGTTATCGTCAATTTTGATTGCCAATCCCTTGACATTTGGAAGACGTCACAGTAGCTCAGTCGGTAGAGCGTTCGCTCCGTGATCGGAAGGTCGTGTGTTCGAATCATGGCGTGACTGACCTAAGTCGATAAAAAATCGGTAGCAACTATTCCTTCGCCAAGCGCTCGGCACTCTGAAGTGAAAGTTGCGGGTCCTCCGGATGAGACGTAAAAAACGGAGGCCCCGTGCCACGGTAGGTGTTGGCACGATAAAGAACCCTCACTGCTCAATGGCCCTGAGTGCCGCGTAAAGGTCCAAATTTGAAGCCCTTCACCGGTATATGGTGATGTCTCTATATGAGTGAAAAAATCTCAAACGGGACGTATAACAACATAGAATCAATCAATTTCACTCAATTAAATCATGCAAATTATTTGCCCAGAAAGTTCCAGAGAAGTTAATGTAAGATCGCAAAGACATAGTGCACCCCAGCAGCAAAATACAACTTTTTAGAATAATGTATACCATTTCTTTATAGCTCCATGATTTGAAAAATTGCAGATTACAGCCATTTCAGTATTTTTATTTTTAAAAATTGCGAAAATTTAGTAAATATGTATCCGTACATACATACCAGTATATACAACATAAAACTCTAACTTGACATTTCTTAGACACTCTAAAAATGTTCGACTAATACTAGTGTTTATATTGATTCTGTATATGAGCACATACTTTCTTGTTATAATTTGTCGATTTATTTTATATTATTTTAAGTATTTATTAGTTCTCACTTCAGAAAAAAATTACTAACATTTGTACATGTTGTAATCAGTTGTAGCCTGCATGATCGACATGGGATGCTTACTCTTCCATGCCACTTGATCCTATTTCTGATATTTTCAGGGGTCGATCCTGTTTGTCCTTTTAATTTTGTAGTATTTTGTTGTTTGCTTTCGAGCTTGATCCCCACATTTTCATGTGCTTCGTGCTCTGAATAAATGCTTTGTATGCATTATTCCATGTTTCATTCCCTCCTCTTACAAAACAATAATGATTAAATGAATTATAGTTAGTGTGGGTAGTATATGGCAATGCAATTTAAGTAATGACTTCATGTATAAAAGTCAATAAGTATTATAAGCTTAATTTTTTAAAGGCAATTTGTGAAGTGAAAACAGTACTTAGTATAAAAAATCATGTCAATTTCTGCAGATATTTTATCGAACTTAAAAAATATCACAAATGAGAGAATAACATTTACTAAGTAACATGTAAAACGTATTTTCTTCTCTATTTTGAAGGTCCTGGAAAAAAGAAAACGTACCAGGTATTATCAGTAGAGCCCCCTGTATACGGCGGCACCCAAAAGACGTGTACCACCGCCGTCTGAGTACCAGATCTACCAAGAGGACATCGTTCCGATCACGATGAACGGTCCTTACTTCGGTCCGCGTCAGCTCCAATGAAACATTGGTCCCTGGGCCACAACACTCGCATGTCTTGCTTTTTCCAAGAAATTGACTCTCGCTGAGAAATGAGTTGAACAAGATTAAAAATATTATATACACTGCAGTGTATCACTGAAACATTTGACTTATTTCTGTATTCCACCCTGTCTTTGGAAAACAAACTTAAAGAAACTTAATTTTAAAATTATAATGCTACCTGACTATTAAATTTAAAAAAAATTACCTTGATTTCTTTTTATTATTTAGACTAGTGGTTGAAGAAAATATTTTAATTGCACTTCTGTCTTTTTACTGTATCTTGACGTTCAGCCCAAGAGTTTGATACTTAGACAAAATTATTAATTTGTATCCTGTTAGTTGAGACGTATCCCGTGAGATTATCGATAGTAAAAAGATGTGTAAACAAACTTCTGTTAAAAAGCTCTTGTCACTTGATCATAATTTTGTAAATTGAAGGGGTTTTTAAATGTTAGTTTTTTGACTTCACGTGTAATTAATAACATACGCAACATAGTTTTGAACTTTATTTTCTTATTCCCTGTTTAATCTAAGAGTTCCAATGATCAAAGAACCTTTGTGCTTTTTTATTATGCCTGATTATGTTGTACACATCCTCTGGAAATACCAGCTAAAACTCTTTTTTGTTAATTTGTCTTATAAAAATACAAGGATTTTCATCATTTGATATCTCTTCAAGACTCCTGGTAGAGTATGCTGATATTCTGTCGAAGAACATCTGATGCATCGTCGGATACCCAAGGGTGATCTCGTCTTGTCGGATACCCACGGGTGATCTCGTCTTTTACCTGTCGGATACCCACAAGTGATCTCGTTTCTTTACTTGTCGGATACCTTCGGGTGGTCTCGTCTTTTTACTTGTCGGATACCCACGGGTGTCACCCGTGGGCAAACTCGCTGAAATATCGTCGTTTATTATGCAAATTCGTCGAGTATAGACAACCAATCAGAAAGTTGGGACTCTTCAGTTTTAAAATTACGTTTATAAGTTTGCTATTTATGGTAAAATCGTGATCCCGTTAAAACGTGCGAATTTTGTTTTAAAACGATCATGGGCGTAGGAACCGGGGGGGGGGGGGGGGGGCACGGGGGCCCTCCTTACTGAAATTGCTTCCTACGGGCCTGACGATAAACCACACGTACATGTCACTGGCAAAAAACCGTTCAGGAATAATATAGAAGTACCTTTCTCAAACTGCTAAATGCACCGGCGAGTGGATTTGTTTGCAGTCGATGAGTTAACTACGGAAAAGCATTTGTCATTGCCGAACATACATACGTAACGTAAACTGTGATTCGTTGATATGCCATCGCGATTCTATGCAGCAGCCAATTCAATGACCGCATATTGATTACATACGACGATATTTCGACGAGTTTGTCCACGGGTGATAAGTAAAAGACGAAATCACCTGTAGGCCGTGGGTATCCGACGATACATCTGATGGTATTTCGATTTTAAATTAAAAATATCCCAGAAAATTATCAGTGGGAAAGGTACATTGTAAAATCCATATACACGTTGCGTATGACTTCAAATTGATGAATTCATTATAGGATTAAATGTTCTTTTTTCAGAATTTATCGATGTGTAAACTCATGCCTTTGTACTTGCAAACTGAATAAATGTGTAAACTCATGCCGTTGTACTTGCAAACTGAATAAAAGTGCGAAGCACTTTTACGTAAAGTTTGTGAGTACAAAGGCATGAGTTTACACATCGATAAATTCTGGAAAAAAGAACGTTTAATTCTTATAATTCCAATTATTACGCAGTTTTAAAATTATTTCTCTTTGAAGCCTCCATACAATCTGTTATTTCTGTACAGCGGAGGAATACTTTATACCGCGATGTGGAAATGAATCGCAATCAAAATAACGTTCAACTTTAATTGTCAAAACATTTAATAAAATAAGCTTATAAAAACTCTTCGAATATTGTTTAAGACTAAAGTCAACAAATATCGTAAATACAAGTAGACTTCAAAAGAATTCGTCCTTGACCATGTTGACAATATAACGACAGACGCTCTAAAACGAAAGTAACAGACAGACGACAACCTTGAATTGCTTTGGTTTGTTCAAAGACGGGACAGAATATAGGATGTAGAAAAATGAATTTGATGCTAATAAGGCAAGAGTCTAAGGTACGTTTCTCTTTCCTATCACAGCGCTACCGAGAACTGAGTTGATTTGTTTTGTAGGCCTATTAGAAACGTCGGGAATATGACTACAGATATTTAAAATTTACCCTCGTGATCTGACAGTGACATAAACATAATATTCCCGTCTGTCAGTCCTGTATGTCGTCAGTTTTGTTTTTATTTAATTTCAAGATTCTGTAATTGTTTAGCTAAAACACTGAATAGAAGTAACGATTTGTTTCCTTTTTTTTTACAATAAAAGCTAGGTCAAGAAAGTAGTTCTGATTGAGAATTTATCGATGTGTAAACTTTTTCTTGAATTTGTTCTCGTCCAATCGAAACACAGGAAATCGATAAATAAAATTAAGATTGGAATTATTGATATTTATTTTATTAATAAAATCTGAAGCGTTATTTAATAAACTCTACTGGTCAAATTAAGCCCGAGAACTGTTTATGTATTTCATTTGTAAGGTATCTGTCTTTAATCCATCAGTTTGTTTCTAATATTCTATTAATAAAGTAATAGACTAAATATAGTCGGCCCGCGTGGCACAGTGGTTAGAGCGTCTGCTCTACAGTAAGGAGTAAGGAGCTGATCCTTACGTCGCGGGTTCGAATCCCACTGCGTGATGTGGAGACCGGTCCTTCGGATGAGATCGTACAAACCGAGGTCCCGTGTCGCAGTAGGTGTTGGCATGAAAAAGTTTCATCACTGCTCAATGGCTCTGAGTGCCGAGAACTGGTATAAATTTGCAGCCCTCCACCGGCAAGTGGTGGCGTCCCCATGTGAGTGAAATATCCTGAAGAGGGACGTTAAACAACAATCAATCAATCTATATATATATATCTATCTATATCTCTCTCTTTCTATATATAGATATGAGCAAGAGTTGTATAATCTATATAATTTGCAGCCCTCAACCGGCAAGTGGTGGCGTCCCCATGTGAGTGAAATATCCTGAAGAGGGACGTTAAACAACAATCAATCAATCTATATATATATATCTATCTATATCTCTCTCTTTCTATATATAGATATGAGCAAGAGTTGTATAATCTATATAATTTGCAGCCCTCAACCGGCAAGTGGTGGCGTCTCCATATGAGTGAAATATCCTCGAGAGGGACGTTAAACAACAATCAATCTATATATATATATATATATATATATATATATATATATATATATATATATATAAATCTATATATATATATATATATATATATATATATATATATATATATATAGATATATATATATATCATCAAGAGTTATGTGTATTTTATGGAAGTAAAACTAATAAGTTTTTATTTTTATTAAATAATTTACTTTTTCGTAGAAAAATTCACAAGTTCAGTTGCAACTTTTCTATTATTATAAGTATAAAACTACAGTCTCGAAAGAGACTTTTTTCTTTTGTTTTTTTTGGGGGGAGGGGGGGTGTTCTGCAGCATGACCATTTCATTTGTTATTGGTCTTAGTCTTTGATATTGTTTGGTTTGTTGTCTGTTTTGTTTTGTTTTTACTTATTTTTTGGTTGCGTTTTTTGTTTTGTTTGATTTTGTTTGTTTAAATTTTGAACCATTTGTATTGATCTGTGCATACAGTGAAATGTGATGAACGGTATTGTCACTTGAGATTTATGTACCAATAAAAAAATTAATGTCACTCTATTTTTATTACACAACAAGTTGTCAGAAGAATTCTTTCTTAACTGGATGTATTACTTTGATTTTTATTCTTGACGCCAGGGATACGCTATATTTAGCGGCTACTGAAGGAAGCCTCCACTCCGGTGTTTCTGGGATTTATTCAGTTTTCTTTGTAGCTAACTGATGGATTACAAAAACACAATACATATAAGAGGAAGACAACATCCTCCTTGCAAGGACAAAGAATCTTGCTCTTGGGTAAAAATGAAACCCGAAGGATGATTCGTCGATACAGTCAGATAGGACCTTGTGCCAGATCTAGACATGATGGTACCATTCGGATCTCATGAATGAATTGATAAAGCTTAAAACTTCGTTTAGCCTTTCGATATCTTTTATTTACATCTGATGATTTTATTGGCTTTGTTTAGAATTCCTGTCAAATTTGGATGATTAATCAATCATTTTTTGCATTTTTTATTACTTTTTGTTTGGGATTAAGTTACAAGAGAATAAATTCATTCAATTTAACGACAGTCAATATATGGGGCAATAAAAACATGTATTCAGGGTTTCCTGTACTTGCCATTGCTAACTACAGTGCTTCAGGGTGAAAATATACTATCAATGTAACATTTACATCTGCTAATTATCATATGTGAATATTCAAAAGAAAAAAAAAACTAGTTTCAAGAATTAAATAGAAGGGTCATAATAAGTAGGTTAACAGATGTGTAACTAAAACTTAATCTGTATAAAGTCGTATTCCAGCTTATTATCTAAGAGTAGGCGAAGGAGAAAAACAATTTTTAAAAAAAAAATTAACACTAGACCCAAGGACCATGAATTTAGGTTGAAGAACCCTTATCATAACTATACACTAACCTTGTCTGCTAAATACCCGAAAGCCCCTGACCCAGAGGCCATGAATTTAAAAAAGATTTAAGAGCACTCTTGTTCATTATAACGATGCACTTACCTTGTCTGCATAATGTATAAGGGAGGGGGGGGGGATATTTTTTAAAAGACTTTATGCGTTTTCATAATATACAATAGATCCTGCTATAACACCAGAAACCCTGACTTGACCCTGGGGTCATGAATGAAATATATGGAGATAACGAACAGTATTCAAGCTCAAAAGTAATTTCATAATCATGGAAGAGGCACCCCTGATCATATCCATGCACTTAGTCTGCTAAATACCCTGAAGTAGAGAAGAAAATTTACGAAGAATTGATGCATTTTCCTAATATAATCAAATCCCACCCCCAACATCAGAAACCCTTAAACAACGTTCTTAGAATTCAATATTTTAATTTGTCACTTTACTCATCATAACCGTGCACTTTGTATGCTAAGTTACCAGAAGCAGAAAAGATTTTTTTGAAATAATTAAT